TAAATATTATATTACACAGAAAAATGGTCTAAGTCTAATAATTATATTTACTTAAAAAAAACATGTTGGTGACGCAAAATATCAAATATAAGGATTGTATTAGGTATCTTAATTGTTAAATAACCACTTACCATGCGAAGCTTGGCAAAGGCAGTATTGATTTTGTTATAAGAATTCCAAAACAATGTTTAGGTTATTGGCTTGAAGTTTAGGGATAAATCGAGCGTGACTAATGGCTATTGTGCCCGGACTGCGAATCTATGGATTCTAGATCACAACCTGTCGCCTTAAAAAATTGCTTCTTACTTTGGAGTTGTGAGTTCAAAATTAAGAACGTCTAAGCGCAACCAGCTCTTGTGTATCTTTGCGGAAAATTCTAAAACAGACTAAAATGTTTACAAGTATAGTTTCGGATGACCTTCATTTTTAACATTTTATTTATGCACTACTTTTAAGTATTAAACGATTTATTAATTTCTTGTTTCCAATACTCATATGTGTGATCTAGGCTGTATAACAAAGTTAAAGGAACAAACAATTAAAGTAGCATGAAAAATAATACTTGAGAGTAACATAAAAATTCATGTGCTATTAGTTTTTACCCATTTCAAGTATCCTGTGTTAACATTTCACGATTGTTTCGGCATCTCTTGTATGTATTATCCACTACCTATTCAACATAGCCTATAGTAATCGCCAGTTTATTAACAAAATACTCATCGTAGATTTCAAGACACCAGCTGACGTTATTACTACTTGGTAATGACAAACTTCAGGAGTTTGTCTTCGACCATACCTTTCGTTTTGACTTTTGTCGTGAGCTTTAGAATTAGCAGTAATGTTACTGGGTGCCTGAAATCTTCACAGATCAATCACCGTTTTACGTTTCTACCAATGATCGTCGGGACAGTATATGGAAAACCAAGGGTGGGAGATATGCATAGAACAAAATCATTTGATATTGCACTCTTGTATTATGGCAGGGAAATTGGCGTGTAGATCCAATTTCATGATAATCCATTAGACTAGAATAGATTTCCAGAAACTTGAAATTATGATTCAAAGCATTGTGGAAGTCTTAACACTTATAACGCTAAAAACCGAGTTTCGATAGCCGTGGTTGGGAACGCATAGATAGTCCGTAGTATAACTTTGTGCTTAACAACAAACAAATAAATTCGCACGTGTTTTTGAATATGTGGAGCTAAATGGATATTAATGGGTTTCTGATGGGATAAATTTACCTCTCTTTGATGTATTGACGTGTTATTGGATTCAGTTGTTCCACTTTTAGTGGTGAAATCAGATCAGACTTATCTTGATGAAGAGTAATACTAATACCTGGTAGATGCTGCTCTGACTGCCATAGGGTATTTTGAACATGAAACAACAAAAGCCAAGAACTGGAAAGCAAAATTTCTGATCTATATTTCATAGAATTCCTCTGTGACATTTCTTGGTTATCGTATACGTTAGCTCTATAATCATATCATTAAAGAACGGGAAAGGATTCCTCCTAACAGTCCTCGTATTCTTCTAGATTCAGAGATTGTGTGAATCCCAGTAGTTGAATTCGTTACTATCTTTTTTTAAACAAGTCTAACTCTTTCAGTTTTCAGTAAGACCCTAATTCTGACTACTTTGAATTGGAGGATAAGTAACCAACAGTAAATTATCAGTGAAACTTCTTCGTTACATGTATTGTAACGTTGTTTCATAGATTACGTCTTATCTAATGCAGACAGCGCAATACACTTTCTCATGATTTAGAAATAATGTGAAAAAAATTTGTTTGTGTGTTTTTCTATTTGTGTCAAAACATCTTTCTAGTTTCCAAAGTGAACTGATTCTAAACTTCGTCCAAGTTAAATTACTTGTTTAGTTGTCCACATAATGTTCTTTGTATTCTTTTTACTAAATTATACTTGTATCTAAAACAATCTTTTTAACACTCTTTCATTTCCTTATGTCATTTTTTTTTCTTAAACACGTAAAATTACCCAATGCTTCGGTTATAAATAAGAAAATCGTGAAAGTACTACTTCCAAATAGTTTTTTTTTCTGTAATGTCATCTCCTTTATGCCTGACCAAGGTGCTGAAGGGTGCCAATTAGCACGATTGAGTTTTAATGCTAAAAGTTTCTTTGAAGTTTGGGCGTAAATAGATTAATGAAACAAAACATCATAGTCCATTTTAGTAGTGCTATAAAGAGTAATACGAATTTTAATGTGTAGAAAATTTGTTTAGATATGAAACAATATTAGAAAACACTTACTAAGACACTACAATTTTCATACTCATAAAGCATTATACAGTGTCACACTCTCTATAGCAGTAACGGTGGAAAGGAGAGAAAATTCTATTAGTGACTGTTGTTTTTCTTGTATTGGAGACACGTGCGCCAGAGTGTCACGTCAGAAGGATTTTTTGTTTTGTTATAAAAAAAATTTAAGTGAAGAGGAACTGACTGCACGATTTTCCCAACTGTGATTGGCTAAATTCGTGCTCCAGGTTGCACTTATTATTTCATGTGCCAGAAGGCGGATGCAACAAAATGTTCTTCGGAGCTTTAAAATGTAATCGAAAACTCTCAATAGAACCGAGTAGTGTAATATTTCAAGAGTGGACTTGAAGAAAGAACGAGAAAGGCTCGCAACAGGAGATGCAATGAGAAATCAAGAAAGTTGTGGCTACCAACAAGGCTTCGCTTGAAATAACAAGATAATTTTCTGTTTCACCGCAGACTTCCATTACTTGCTGCTTTATTTTGACAGTTTTGCACTGAACAACACGTCTCCATTTCACTGGATTTTGGAATCTTCTGGCGAGCACTTATCACCCCAAATGACACTGTCCATGCTGAAGTCAAACGCTGGGGATACTGATAGTCTTTTTCGAGATGGTGGTTTACTGTGAGATCCCTGACGTATAATACGTTTCAATTCTCGATTAATATGAGACTTTGGTGTATAACTTGAGACACAAGAATTATGAAATATTAATATTGTTTGAGATATTCTTCTAATAATTATTGTGGTTCTATTTGGAGGATATATTTCCCCTTAATGCTGGACCAAAATTAAATGGCTCAAATTGCTTAACGTTCTTGTTATACTTCCCTTTGGGCAATCTAAAACACCTAGAGACTAAAAACTAGTCTAAAAGAAACCCTATATGGTGTGAAAGTGTTAAACTAGGTCTTAGCTCAACTTTTTCATTATATAGGTTTTACTTATGGAATCGGAAAAGTCTAAATATTAATAAGCAAATTCCAATAGAAACTTAAATACACATATTTTAACACTAGCTGGCGTACCTGTCCCCTGGACGGAAATTATGTAAATTCATGATTAATGAAAGCTTATCTTAGGACATGAAAATTTGCTTCTCTTATAGGTAATTGTAAAAAAAAAACGTAAACACACCCATAAAAAGTGCAAAACACAAAATGTGAAAACGGAAATTTGCACGTATTTTCGCATGGACCCCAAAAATCTTCGTGCTAAATTTGGTGAAGATCCATTAACATGGGGTGAAGTAGTGGTAAAAAACGAAAAACACCCATAAAAACTGCAAAATGTAAAGCTGAAGATGTGTATGTACATTCGCATTGAGCTAATGAGCCTCCAGACCAATTTTGATGAAGATCCATTCACACCCTGCGAAGTAGTTACATGGACGTACAACAGACAGTGCTATTCTATTTGTATAGATTTCAACTGGGTGATTCAAAGCGTCTGGTAACTGCCAAGTAAAATTCATTAAAGATTATGAGAATTGTTACGAGAACACTAAATTAATATGGATTTCTTTTTAATTTATGTGTAACATATGAAGTTAAAATGAATTTGTTCTATTATATATATATATATGTATATATATAATAGTTTGGATTGAAAGAAATTGAAATGGATGCAACATTTTGAAATTTAATGACTTATGTTCATTATGGCTTGTTTGTTGAATTTCGCGCAAAGCTACTTGGAGTTATCTGCACTATCCGTTCCTAATTTTGAAGTAATACACTAGAGGGAAGGCAGCTAGTCAACACCACCCAACTCTTAGACATCTCTTTAACAACAAATAGTGGGATTGACTATCAAATTAAGACAACCTTACCGATGAAGGAGCAAGCGTGTTAGATGATGGGATTCGAACATGCGACTAACAAATTGCCATGCCAGGTCTAAGTTCATTATAGAGAGTTTATTATATTTTATCTATCTGGCAATTTAAAACTGTTTATGTTTATTTTGTTTGTAATACGTTACAAGTTATGTGAGACAGCAAGCAACCATTTACTTCTTTGATGTATGTTGCATGCTTTTTAATGTTAGAAACACATCGAGAAAGACATTTTCATATCGTGGCGACTTAGCTCAGAAGCACGCGACTAAAGCAATTTTGATTATATTATGTAACCCAGTAATTACTTAGATGCTCTCAAACAAGCCGTTTGTAATAACATTTAAACTTAAACCAGATCAAACTGCAAAATGATATTATGTAATACGTCAGACGTAATTGTTTTTAAGTGTATAATGCTGTAATACAGTTTCAATTACAAACCTTTATCATCTAATGACAAACGCACAGGTAAAGATAAAACTGTGTTTGTTTTAATTTAGCCGAATAACCCATTTATGCTACAAACTTATATTCCATGTAAAATTATTTATATAAAATATTTAAGCTTATCACTGTAGTGTTATTTGTAACGGAAACTAGAAAACTCACTATTTGCAAAAATCTTTCTAAGAGAATAATAACCGCTTTTTTATGTAATGAAAAACTTATAAAGTACAATAGTATGCCTTTATATTCTATAAAATTGTACCCTTTTTAAAGTTGGAATCTAAGTTCTAATATAAGCTGCAGAGGGAATATAGTTAAACGTTAATTCTTGTACAATGTTTACTGTACATAAATAAATGTGTTATCTACTTTAAGTGTCGACAATAACTGGGAAAATTCAAATATATCGTGTATCTGTACTCACCCATTAAAGTTACCAGGTTCAGTGATGAAGTTAATGAAAAAATTATTTCTACATTATTTGGCGTTCTCGCGGAGAGTTGTGTGGCTTGAGTCACCGGCGAGCTGGCTTTCAAACACAAGCTGGCGAATAATCACAGTGATTTCCTCCTGTACCCTGAGCCCACGTGAGGGCGCTTGGTTCGAATTGTTTATTGAGTTCCAGAAGTTGAGTGCAATCATTGATCTCCCATCATGCGTATGCCATGAGAAGCCAGTAAAACAGCCTGAGATTATTTAAGCAATCTTGACTTCGTTCTGTGATACACTTCATTTTAAGTTACAATGTATATATATATATTATAGTACACAGACAATTTCTGCTATTATCCGCTGCCTTTTAAAAAGCAGTGGAACTGATATACGAAAGCTTTAGTCTTCCGTGCATTGGTAAAGAACTTTATCATCAATAAAACTTTTTAGGTGGAAATTTAGGAACTGAAATCGGGAAGATTCGTGTGAAAAAAATCTTATTGACATTTACAGGAGTTTATACCAATAATAAGAAAAATCTAATAAGCCGAATGTTATGTCTGCTTCTATAGGATTCTACCCGAGCATGTGCAGCTTTTTATGTATAGATAGCGGTGTAACAGCAAAATGTTTACTTATTTTGATTTCGTTCTGTTTTACTGACTTGTAAAGAATGATGGACCAGTTTATGTATTCACTACCTTTGCAGAAAGGTTGTTGAAAGAACAATGTTTCTGTTAGTTGTTGAGTTGCTTCATTTTCCCTGTAACACTATTTGAAAATTGAACATTTGTACCCATGATCCCAAATATATCTTGAGAAATTGGACCAATAGGTGATTAAAACGTTAAAGTACAGCAGTATTAGATATCATTCTATCCCTAGTATGAATTATTCACTGTGATTGGCGGAAATCGTGTACGTAGTATGAAACATATGAACTGTTGTCTCGAAAAATTGGTCAACAAATCGAATGAATGTTGACTAAGTGTCAAGGCCGTTGTTATGCATGCTAAGGTCGCCGCAAAACTTTTCTAACGACAGTTTTTTGCATCTCACTGAAAACACGCTGATTTATTTAGACCTAATTACAAACAATTTGCTCCAACCCGTAAAATGAACGTGTAAGATTTCATTTACTAGCAGATGGAGAGTCTCGTTGAAAGGAATGATTGTAAGAGTACTAGAATATAACCAAGGAAGCTGTAAAGTAATCGAGTAATACTGCGCTACACGGAAGGTGACTGTGGATGATAACGTTGGAAATCTTGCTAACGTTTTAGACATATTTCATGCTGGTGTTAGGCAGGTGCGTACTTTATACGTTTATTATAATTTGTAAACGCGTTATGGTACAATCGTTTTTGCATTCTGGTAATTCAGTGATAAATGTATTGAATTAGTACGGTCCAGTTCTCTATTAAATTAATTATTTCTCATATAAATATTATAACCATCTACAAAATGGCTTATTTCAGTGCTAGTTAATTAGGTTTTTGTAAAATTGAAAACAGGAAGGAGGTAGAATAATACAATTATTGACTGGTTACTTCGGGTAATAGATCATTTGTGACTCTCATAACTAGACAATATTTATATACAATTAAATTCAAATTTAAATATAAATGTTAGGGGTATCCCACACTCTACAAAATTTTTAAATTAAAAAAACAGCTAAAATGGGATAGAAAAAATATCATTTAAAAAACAACGTTTCGCCACTATTAACGTGGCATCATCAGGTACTCAACACAATTGTACTTGACAATTAAACACACCAAACTGGTGTAGACTTTTAAATTGTATATTTTTCTATCTCAGTTTAGCTGTTGTTTTTTTTTTAATGTTAAAATAAATGTAAAATTCCTGCCACGTGTTAAAGTACTGAGTATTGTGACGGTATATCAAACACAAAATAAATTTTCTATGTTTGGTTTCAAGCTATGTCATGTTTGATTTGTAAAATTCTTTAGAATGATATTCAATGCACTTTATATAACGTGAACATATATGTATATATATATATATATTACATTTTAGTTTTAATATATTTTATATAAAAATGTTTTTAAATAGCATCAAAGCGGTAGTAAAAGTTTAAAGTGGCTATCGTATCCAAACTCATTAGTAACGCCTAAAAGTAAATTTACTTCAAAGCTATTAATAACTAAAAATTTGAGTTTGCCTAAACTGGTAATTTTATTAATAATTCTATTAGATTAATCATCAAAGGTTTTGTAAATTACATTCTAAACATTTTATGCCAGTGTCGAAAACTACGTGACGAAAATATATTAAAAGCAACCGCAACGTTATGTGTTAGTGTTATCACTTTGTTATGATAATGACTATTTCTTTACATAATATAGTTTTCTAGAAATTTACAAGTTTGTCAATATCTGACCGACCGTCTGTATTTCTGGTTTTATTTAGTATATCGTAAACAGCATACATCAGCTGTTATTGTTATTACACTTGGGAAATGCCAAGACAAATCATCTAAGTTACAGTTATGTTTAGGATATCAGATTCTCTACTACATGTCAACATCTCAATAATATCCAAACCCGCTTTTACACCTGGTGGTAAACGAGACTTGACTGAACGTTGTGGGATTTTACTTCTGAAGTAGTAACAACGAATTGTTTGAGACTCCTGAGTGTTATTTGAGGAATTAGAAGCATTATATCATTTATGAGGGGCTTCTCAACGCCTATACAAAAACTCTACTTTATATCCCACTCGGTTTATCCATGCCACACATTATGTCAAATATCTTACAATCTAAGGACTAAGTAGTCGCCATCTGTTTTAAGTTAGGTCTATCTATGCGACCCTGCAAAGACGTGTGTATCTGTAACCAACTTGCACAAAAATTATGGAAAGTTATTGATACAACTATACCAAATAGAACTATTAAATATAATTTATATGTCATTGATTGACGATATGCATTTTAACCTGTATTTTATAAGCAGTTTTTGACAATTTTCTTACAGTTTTTAATCTTAAAATGTTTCGATATTGTACAGAATTAACCTATGTTCGTGATAGTTTGCTATGTTTGAAATAAATAAAGACAACAGTAGTATACAGGTGTATATTGTCGTAGTTCGAAAGTAAGAAAAATAACACATTACGCAGGTAGGAGAATTTCCGTGAACAATAGAACAATCATCTGATGAGCATTTAGCACAATATTATAATGCTCAAGTACAAGTAAAGGTTGGAGGTGTTAATGGTTAGCATTTGCATTAGAACACTAAATGTTGGTAGCAAAGTGAAAAATATTAATAAGACGTCAAAAGATGTAATCAAAATATAAAAGAGAAGAGAAATATAAAGGATTGGAGTTAGATATTGTTATATTTGTACAGAAGAAAAAATCAAATAATCAGCGGAGGGAAACAAAGAAAAAATATATATTAATGAAGAAAACGAGAATGGCAGAGAAAAACTGAAGAATGAAAGAATGGTTATCAGTGTGAAATGAAAACGAAACTGTCTGACTTGTGAAATTACGTAAAACTAGAGCAAATTGTATAATATTGAAAAGGGAGAGTGAAAGAAAACTATTAATGTGACATTTTTCGATGTTTACATCCTGATGAAAACCTGGTAGTAATTGGACTCAAAAGTTGATACCCTGAGAGTAATTACACTAAATATTTGACAACCTGATAGTAATTACACTCGAGAGTTGATAACCTGATAATAAGTACACTCAAGAGTTGGCGATATGATAGTAACTACACTCAAGAGTTGGCGATATGATAGTAACTACACTCAAGAGTTGATGCCCTAATAATAAGTACACTCAAGAGTTGACAACCTGATGATAAGTAAACTCAAGTGTTGACAACCTGACGATAAGTAAACTCAAGAGTTGACAACCTGATAATATGTAAACTCAATAGTTGACGACCTGATATCAAGTACATCCATGAGTTGACAACCTGATAGTAAGTACACTCAAGAGTTGCCAACCTGATACATAAGCAATGACAAACTGACATAATTATCGTGAAAACTGTATAATATATAACATTCTAAGGTGGCATGATAATCGGATGAGATTTACTCCGAAGTAGTATGTTATTGTTGAATAAACTGGAATGGACGGTAACTGTTGTGAAGAAAACACAAATGTAGAGGAAGACGTTTCGAAAGTCTTCAGTATTCCAAAACGTCGTCCTCTACACTTGTGTTTTTAACAACAGGCAGTTGCCGTTCATTCCAGTTTACTCATCATGAATACTCTACCTAAACAATCTATCAAAGAATAGTCTGTTATTGTTTACATGACAGCCTAATAGTATGTGCTTTCTAGAATTCCATGTTCTTCCGATGCTATTTATACCTAGTAATGACAAACTGGAAATTATTCGCGAAAACATGATAGTAGTCCTAGATATGAATATTATTGATTCAACAACTCAACCATATACTATTTACGTCTGGAAGCTAATAGTTTGATGCTAAATTAGCATCCTTATCTCCCCGAAATTTCGCCGAAGGCCACCTGAAAAGGTCACCTGTTTTAACCACTCGCACCACAATAGTGTGTTGTCTGTTTGTCAGTCAGTAGACACTAAAATGACATCTCACAAGAGACGCTTAACGTTGCAATTTGTACTATCGTGACGTCAGTAAAACGTGCACATGTCATTAATCACGAGAAGAATTATGTAATCTGTAGGCTACAATACAGCATGACTTATGAATTTGAAAAGCAGGAAATAAAAATATCGGTTATTCTTAATTTTGGTTTTATTTACTCTTGAAACAGAACACTTTCGGGAACCTAATTTCCCTAATTTTGAACTGCTGACCACAGAGAAGGAAACCGGTCGGCACTGTCCACCGCCAACTCTTAATCTACTCTTGACCGACGAAGAGTGGGATTGACCATCACATTATAACGCCCCCACATCTGGAAGATTAGAGCGTCCTAACCACCAGGTTATGCCTGGCCCCTTAGATAATGTGACGCACGTTGCTAAAGATTATATTTTTTATTTGTTCGTAAGCCGTCCCATGATACAATGTATTACGAGTCAGTTTTTGGTTTGTGGGGTCACTTTACACTGTT